AGTTAACAATCTTGCATTGGAAAACTGCTGCTTCTCTGCCAACGTGGCCAGGAAGTTCTACTTGCCGGATGCCTTAGCAGCAACAGAAAAATACATTGTCAATAATCTCTGGAAGCTGCTGGACTTGGATTTGTCAGGACTTCTCGAGCTGAACTTCAGGTCTTTGCTAGCAGTGGTTGAATCACCAGATCTCCCTATGGTGAAAGAAACCCGCCTGCTGAATCTTGTGCTGCTGTGGCTGAAGCAGGACAAATCCAGGCTGACTCACACAAGCAGCCTTTTAGAGCATATAAGATACGGCATCATCCCAGTGGAAGAGCTGAGAAAAACCTACACACAGTCAGAAGTGCCTCTCTCTGCAGGTATTAAGTGCAAGATCATTAAAGCAATTAATTACCATACATCAGTTTTCAAACAGCCTGTCCTGCAGGATAAATCCACCACTCTGAGAAACCAGAAAACTCGGATCATTCTGCTGGGGGGAGGGACAGCAAGCGAGGGGCTCATCACTGATGTGGTGGCCTTCGACGTTTACAATCACAAGTGGCGAGCTCTCACGCAGGTGCAGGACAGGGTGCAGAACCACAGTGTGTGTGTGGTGGGGAACTTCCTCTACGTCTTAGGGGGGGAAATAGAAAACAGTGCCCTGGGTGATGGTAAAACAGAAAAGATCCTATCAGTTACGAACAAGGTCCATCGTTATGACCCGAGATTTAACACATGGACCCAGATCACGGGCATGCTGGAAAAGAGATGCCAGTTTTCTTGTTGTGTCCTAGGCAAGGATATATTTGCCGTAGGTGGAAGGGGTAAGGATGGGTCGCTGCTTTCATCAGTGGAGGTCTACAACATCAGCAGGGACAGATGGACAAAGGCTAGGGAATTGCCATGCAAGTTATATGGCCATGCCAGTGCCATTTGCAAAAACACTATATACATCTCGGGTGGCAAATACTCAGACCCAGCCAACACAAGTAAGGATGTATATTCTCTGACCTCCCTTGAAGGGCAGTGGATGGAACAAGCCCCGATGAGCATTGCTCGGTTTGGGCATCAGATGGCAACAATCAGAGAAGCCATCTTCACCTTTTTAGGATTATATGAACCATTCTCTGAAATAGAAAGATACGACCCTGATCAGAACCAATGGACTCGGCTAAGGCCATTGATCTATGATCGATTTTCTTATGGCCTGGCAGTGGTAGAGGAAACGGCTCTTCTTATCGGGGGAAAGAAATGGCAAAACTCACAGGAAGTCCCTACACAAGACGTGGTTGGCTACGACATCGACAACGATGGCTGGGAAGAGATCTGCAAAGCCCCCTTGCCTTGGTGTGGGCTGCAGTGTGCAGTTCTGCAGCTCTCTGAACTGACTGATGAGCAGGACAGTGACAGCCAGCAAAAGAGGCCACCAAACTGCTGAGCATACACACTGTGGGATCAGCATCCCAGGAGATGAGCCAGCAGGGCGGTCCTCGAGAAGATTACAATGGTTCTAACTGTGACAGAGGTTTTGCTTTGATAGGTCATACGCTTGGTAGAAACAGGCACGAAAGTCTGGCTCCAAAATAGCAAAAGGTGCTGGGATTTATAGAGCTGGAAGCTGATCTCACTGAGGAAGGGTGTAGCAAGTACCACATTTAGAGGTGACGGATGAGAATCATAATCCCTGACTTTTGAAGAGTAATACCTAGATAGCAATTAATAGGTGTTGCAATTCAGATTTTTTCAAAGGTTAAAAAATATAATCCATCTTTTCTGTTTTCTTAATCAGAGGTAATTTTCCCTGTTGTTAAGTGCTATTGAATTTTATGCTATGGCTAAGCAAAATGGAAGTGAGCTGTATAAAGACTAGAAAATTGATGCCTATGAGAACTAATAATAAGCACTGCCATGGAAAAGGTATAATTTGATATCTTACATACTAGGCAAGAATGACTTAGCTAACCAGTGTGAAATTACTGGACAGAAAGGATGGATTTTTTGCTCTGCAGACTCAGTTATGGCCATAAATTAAAACAGTGACCAATAGAAGCCACTTCTCTCTGAGCAGCCTTTCTTGTAGCATGCCTTTGAGATGCTTATTTTGTGTTATTTTAAAGACACACACTTTAGTCCAGTACTTTTCTTCTGTATCCAAACCTTGTGTTAGTTTAGACAGCCCGAGCTGAACGCGTATACTTATTATTAGACTGTAGGAAACATGTTACAGGAGTTGCTGTAACGAATGCCTTGATACTTACCTCAGAAGCATATGCTGCTTTATTGTACCTGCTGACAATGGTAAAATTGTTCACAGTTGTTGAACCAGTACACGAGAGAATCCTGCAGTCAAAAAAGGTTTACTTTCATCAAAGAGTATGATGGGGAGGGAGGTAACTGAAGGTTTTCAGAAGTCTTTATTCAGCGTCTGCCTACATCTGAAGCAGCAATAGTCTTACTTCTTTTTTGTAGTGTTGTTGGCAGTGTTCAAAGGTACAGATGATGGGGCTACTTGAAGGTACATGGATCTGTGAAATGCAGGTAAAATGGTCAGATGCCGCAGAACCATTTTGAGATTATGTAATTGAATTGAGGAAAAAATGTTCATTTAAATCGCAATTTATTGTACTTCATTTTACAGTGTTCCCTTTTTAGGCTGAGAGTTAATACAATAAAAATATATATAGAAGAACATTTAATAGTCTTAAAAGAAGGCAGCACAATGGAGAGGACACGTTCTTTGTCACTAGACTAGCTTAAAAAACTGTAATGTTTAATTTTCACCTTTAAAGCAATCAAGCTGACTTTACTAATGTAAAGTGCAGGCAGAATAGCTGTTGCATAGCAACAGATCTAAATCTTCTGAACTGCCTTGGCTTTGACAAGGAATCAACTACACAATATGCATATACATTTATCAGATATAAAGAGTTTTTTATATGAATATATTTACTTTTGGTCCAGTAAAACAATAGCAAGAGAATCTAAATGCTTGGAACAATAGCACAATCCATTTCAAGTCAAGCATTTTTTAAGAGAAACGTACAAAAACCTCACAAATTTAATATACAAGTAGTACCATGCAGTAAATAAATGTCCAGTTTATACAAACAATATTCTTCTAATGGTACAAATATTACACTGGAGCCAAAATTCTATACAAACATTAATACATGATTTGTCATCCAGATTGACTTGAATATAGGATTACTGAAAATGGGCTACAGAAAGGCCACTCTTCTGTACAATTGTGCAAAATCTGCAAAACATTTGCAATCCGCCTGCAATGAAATAACAAGAAAGAAAGAGAAAAACATGGGGAGAAAGAAAGAGAAAAGGAGAGGAAGGGAAGGAGGGAAGGAGGGAAGGAGGGAAGGAAGGAGGGAAGGAAGGAGGGAAGGAAGGAGGGAAGGAAGGAGGGAAGGAAGGAAGGAAGGAAGGAAGGAAGGAAGGAAGGAAGGAAGGAAGGAAGGAAGGAAGGAAGGAAGGAAGGAAGGAAGGAAGGAAGGAAGGAGGGAAGGAAGGAAGGAAGGAAGGAGAGAAAAGAAATCTTTCCTTTCCTTCATCCCTTCATGGATATAACTGCCAGGAAATATCAGAGCTCATAAAGTTTAAAGTACATTCACTGAGCTGCACAGGCAATAATCTAAAGTTGGTTAAGAGTACAACTCTGTAATAAGCATAAAGGAAGCTTTTCCCTTTCGCATGAGCATTATTAAATCACATTGTGAATCCTAACTTAGGCAGCAAAATACTGAAAAGCAGCAGAAATGTTTTGTCATGCTCTGATCACTTTTCAAAAACAAGCCCATAAAAAGTAAATATGTGATTTAAGGTTTTCCTCCCACTTTCCTATTTCAGGCGTGTGCCTAACTCTTGCAGAGCTATTTCAACTCATATTCACTGGGTTGTCTCCAGCACATCTCAAATCTTGTGGAAGTTTAAAACATTTTAATTGGCTTGTGAACTCAGCAGAACTCAGAAACATCCCCCCCCCCTTCAAAAATGAACCAGAGGCTTTCTTACTCCTCTGTTCTTTTTCAGGTTCTGTGCTCAGCTCTTTTCCCGTCACTCTTTTTCCCTTCCTACAAAATGGCCAAATTTCACAGCTCAGGAGGCATATAAGAGACTACTTGAAAAATCCTATTCATTCCTTTTCTATTGTGAGAATTTTCAAAGCCTCTCAAATTCAGAGCATTTCATTGGGAACCTTTTCCACTGCTGCTTTGCTAGGCAAGAGAAATGCTGCTATCAAGGATGTTCAAAGTCTACATCTTTTGCAAAATCTGCACATTATACCAATACCTTCAGTACAAAAGCAGCATAAATGACAGTACCATGACTAATTTGTAAAAAAAAACAACCAAATGTGATTAAGAGACAAATAACACACAATTTGGTCTTAGAATACAATCCCTATGCATTCATGGTAAAACTTAACGACAGGCTTTTAAAAAAGCACAAGGAAATAAGACCTAACCTGTTGATACTTAAATTCTGTCTGCTGATTTTCACTCTTTTGTATGCTGGACAAAACTGAAACACAACCACTGCATTACACTTTTCCCCTGTTATGTAAGAAAACTCCTGGAGTTTCTCATGAAATATAAAAATTATTTTTCTTCCACCACCAAAATAGTACCTGCACTCCAAAAATGGAATTATATAATATAAAATACCATTGTAAAAGTGACCTTCAATAACAAAACCCTTATTTTGTAGAACTTCCTGCATGAAGGCCAGAGTCTTCCAAAAAATGTTTTAAAATACTTTCCTTTAATAGCTAAAGATCATGTTCATTATTTCACAGAAGGTAAACACAAGCAGAGCGTTGGTAGTGTATAAAATATACAAATCTTCATCAAAGATGTGGTATTGTTGACCACTGAAGGTTTACTCCACACAGCTGAGTAACATTAAAATAGAATTTACTAGAGCTCCCATATATTTATATAAAAACTACTTTATGCACTTATGTAAAGGGCAGGAGTATAGCAAATGGACAACAAGAGAGACCTTTATACATGTGTTTCAATGTAAGAGTGAGTGTGTGCTAAGGAGGCTATAAGTGCATTAACCTCAGACGAGCCATTAACAGAGTCCCTCAGGGTGCTGCTTTGATAGATGTCCATGAAGAGATCAAGGTACATTTGCTTCCATTCTTGAAAGTCTCTAGATGTCAGAGCTGGATTATCCAGAACTTTATCTATAATGGCTACTTCTCCTTCCCTGGCCTGTGAGAGAAAGAAACAAAGAGTCAATGCGAGTGATGAATCACTGACAAAATCAATCCCATGGGTGGAAGGAGAAAACAGGGGAAGCAAACGCAAGCCACAGAGCCCCTAAAAGCAGGGGAGCCAGCTGACTGCTATACAACTGCTCACAAACAGAAGGCCTTCCTACAGGGTGTCACACATCACCCTGTTGGGGCTGGGGCTTCCCACGCCTTGTCCAGCATCCTCAGAAATAGGCTCTATTCCTCCTCCTCCTCCTCACCCCTTGTTCAGCTCAAGAAAGACTAAGCCCTGTACTGCTTGCATTAGCTGCTTGCATTTCTCAAAATGCATTTCGCATGACAAAATTCCATCTGTTTGCTCTCTTTGATCAGCAGAAGAAACACTGAGTGGGTGTGTGGGATGCAGACAGATGGCCTCTCGCCTGCCAGCAGAACTAACCCTTTATTACCAGGCTTGTCATGGGGACACCTGAGTGCTACATTGCGAAGGCTTGTGCAAGGACCCCTGCATTAATGGGTTCTTTTCACTAAAGATCCAGTGTATGTGATGGGCTGGCTGGCTGCAACCTCCTCCTCCCACTGCAGTGGCAAAGAGAAGGCTAGAATGGGTAAAACCTAACAGCTGCTGGTACCTCCTTATCCACCATGGAGGCAGGGGTTGTGGCTGTATCATAATCACTGGCCAGTGTTTAGATTATCAAGAGATGACAGGCAGCTGGTATGGGTGTGAGTAACTCAGATAGACTCGCAGACACTCACAGTTGTTGCAAGCAGTGGAAGCTAGATGCAGCAATAGATTTAAGCCTTAGAAATGCAGCTAAGATGCAGGTTTCCAGTACTACTCCTATGTGTAGGTATTGTAAGGCCACCAGCAATGTCCCCTCTATCCTCCCTGCCAGACAGGTTTCACAATCCTCATCACTAACTCACATTTTCCATGTCCATACTGCAAGTATGTTAAATCTTTCTGGGGAGCATGTTAAGGGAAATATTAATCTGTGTCAGCTCACTTTGGTGGGAGAAGATCAGAAGGGTCAGAGATGTCACCAATAAATGGTAGGCTGAAATTTATTTTTCAGGCTTTGCAAACAGCAGCTAATTAATGCCATCTGCTACAGTACTCATACAGAGGTGCAAGCTGAGAATCATTGGTGGAAATGAAATCATACGGACTCCTGATTATTGTATCTCTGCTTAAACTTCCATAACCTGCTTCTCACAGATCGTGGCTGGTACCCACACCTCAGCAGTACCAGCTGGGTAGCTCATACTCACTGGCAGGAAAATGGTTTTGTGATTTTCCTGATCACAGGAAAGAGAGCAGAGGGGTCTTTCATGAAGGATGATGGGCCAGAAAGTCTACAGACAACAGGAGCTGGAAGCCATTTGGAAGGCTGTCTCAGACTACTAATAATTTGGATGAGTTCAAGGAGAGTTCAGAACACCACTTCTGACAGGCCAGTGCAAATGGCTGCATTCAGGAAGGAGAAATCAAAGGCACTGATAAAAGCAAAAATCACTGATTAAGTAACAGCAGCAGCTACCAGTAGATATGATTACCAGTAGTATGGCAGAGATGGAGCTTTGGGCTAGAATGGAGCTAGAAACTCATCATGAGTTACTATGATGCCATTGTGAAACAAGCACATGCCACTCTAGACTGTTCCATGCACAAGAAACAGCAGTTATCTGCCTTTGGTACTTGCTGCTATTACGTTTTCAATTATTGGTGTCAAGTACTCTAAGAATGATTTATCAAGGCCTGATCAAGGATGGTGACAGGTTTAGAAAATATGGCTCATGGACAGAGAATAAACAAATGGTGTTTGCTTCATCCAAGAGAAAGAAGACCCAGAGAAGCATGAAAACAGGCATCCACCAGGTCAAGGGAATGCTCTGTTTTTGGAATTCCCTGGCAGAAAGTAACTCCATTTGTAGAAAGCCATTGGCAATACGTAGCCCAGGTACCATAAATGCCAACAAGACAGACAATTAAGCACGGCACTAAGCTGCTGATATTGAGCCAGAGTTTTGGTATGAGTGACCCTGCTGTAGCACAAAAGCACAGATACAGTGTGAACCTCCTGCTGCCCCAATGTGTCTGAGTACTGTGATTTTGTTTCTGTTCCTTGTGCTTGTAGAAGTCAAGTGGAAAGCCGGTGTATCTTGACTTTTTCTGCTAGCCTCCAGTCCTGTAGAACTTATATAGTCAGATAATACTTAAAGCAGTAGTTTCCTTCAATGAGATGAGACAGTGCAGAAAGTTAAGCATGAGGAAGATTTTTTCAGAATGGGAGCCCCAGAGCATGAAAATAATATTGCTTAAATGCTTCTCTAGGTGATGAAAAACTAAATTAATTAATGTTGATAAAGCCCTCTTTTATGAAAGCTGTTACAAAATCCACTGTACAATTATCTAGTGACTTACAATGAGGTGATTTAACATAGTTAACAGAGTCCCTGGGGAAATCCAGCATATTGTTTGCTAAAATCTCTATCAGGAAAGAGCTGAAACTGCTGTAACAAACAAAGAAGCTCACAGGGAGACTAAATGAGCTGTGGAACAGTTAAAATAACCATTAAAATCTTCAAATTGATCATTACCACTATCTATTTGTTTAACCAATTCTACTGATCAAATGCAATGGTTCTATCAGCTTATGCAGAAAGCTAGCACAAAGATTCTTCCTGGACAAGCTTAGCAATCAGAAAATAATCAAGTGTTGCAAAAGGTGCTGTTCCCTTCTGGAAGTCTGGCTTTGCTTAACTTTAGACTTCAGCAATCACAGTGTCAGTGTATTTTGGTAAATGAAAATGTTAAGGGACAAAAAAAGGATTAAGGTCTACTCTGGTAATTTGGTGTCAAATTCTGTGAAACTAGCTAGAGAAGAAGCAACTGACTGAGATCTTATCTGTGCCGAAATAAAAACTGATCCACTCACTTTGCTCTCCCAAGGCATGTTTTTCTCTGCTTTGTGAATTGTGTTTCCCCATGTCTCCCTTGCTTGTTTGGCACATTAGGGTTGGCCTGAACTCCAGCTGCACACAATCTCCAAATACAAGACAGTGCGATCCAACCCTGGGGCAGGGTTTTTCCTCCCTCTTTTATCTCACCTTTAAAGTGCTTTTCAGAATTCGCAGCTGGTGCAGTTTTTCATTGACTACTGGATCACTACATCTCTTTATAAAATATTTCTTATACTCCAGCTTAGTGGAAATCCGATGTTCTCCTAAAGGAGACAGGCTGGCCTGCTCCAAGGCTCTGTACAAATCTTGCAAGGAGTCTGCTGTTTTCTCCTCTATAGTTTCAACTGTAATGAGAAAAAGGAAAAAAAAAAAAAAAAAGGAAAAAGTAGAGAAAGGAACAATGGATCATTAACGTGATTATATGAAGATCTATCGAAAACCTTTACAAAATGTTTAGCATGTTTAACTAGACCATAAGGAGAACATTTCACACCTGGTAAGTTCCAGAAAGAAGTGCCGCAATTGTAACTGATCCTTTTCCGTATTGCCCTCAGGAGAAAGGGAGAAAAACTTTCAAGAATGTCAAGTCTTGAGCCCCAAAGAAAGAAGAAAAAAAAAAAAAAAGAGATCTAGTACAAGGCGTAGCAATATTACTGTGACATACTGTCAGAAACCACATCTCTAGTATCTCGGTTAAATATGCCGGTGACTTCTTTATTACAAGGAAAGGAAGCTCTGGAAGCATTATGCTGAGGAAAGTGATCAGGGATGAGATGTCAGCCCAAGAGTGCTGATGAAGCATTCAAGGTTATGTTTATGATGGTGGCCTCAGAATTACATGCCACTTGCCTTCCTAGAAAAGCCCACTTCACAGAACGACAAAATCATCAAAGTTGGAAGGCACCTCAAGAGATCATCCAGTCTAATCCCCCTGCTAAAGCAGGATCACCTAGAACACATCACACAGGATTGCATCCAGGTGGGTTTTGAATATCTCCAGAGAAGGAGAATCCACAACCTCTCTGGGCAGCCTGTTCCAGTGCTTTGGTGCTCACAGAGTAAGGAAGTTTTTCCTCATGTTTAGATGAAACTTCCTGTGTTCCAGCTTGTGTCTGTTGACTTCTTTGTGTCTCTTATTTTTGATAATTGAGAGTGCTGTTCAATAGTCAGTAATACTGTCACTTTGTGATGTTTTTTTTACTCTAATATTACCTGAAGATTCAGCAGCAGACTACAGACTGGATGTAAGAGCACATTAATGATATCCTACCCAGCTGTGCAGCAAGCCAAACCACTGCTGTTTGCATTATAGGTTAATTTATTTACTGTAGGTTTTAAAGTATTTGTTCTAACTAGTACCAGGAACACCTTACAGGAGAAAAAAAAAAAAAAAAGAAAAAAAAAAAAAAAAAAAAGGCTGGGCATGAAATGTTACTCTAATACAAGCATTTGAAATGTTTATTTTAGAAGTCATTGAAAGATTTCAACTTCTCACACACCATTTCCCCCAGACGAAACTGTGAGATGACATTGTACAAACTTGGGAAGTGCCTGTGAGGTGCCAGGATTAGCTGAGTGGTGACCAGGAGAAGCCAGGGCAACTCTGGGGAAGCACCCAGTCAGCAGGGCCACAGCTTCATCCCTGCTGCCCCTCAGACACTGACACACCTGACTAGGCAGCAGCTGGCCATCATCTGCGCACAGCCTCCCAGATGTCTCCAGAGCCCTTGAGACCCTCCCACCCAGTCTTGGCTCTCATAGCAGTGCATGTTTCCCTGGCACGATGTGCCCATGTCCTCAGGTTGCATTCTTGAAAGCTCTTGTAGGAAGGCTACAGATGTAGCCTTTCACACATTACATTACTTCTATTGTGTGACTGACCCTGCACAAAGACAGAACCATCTTTAAAAATTCAGCACATGCCCCTAAAGTAGTGAACATCACTCTCCTTAGGTTTTTAGAGGATTTTTTATCAAGCACCAGAAGGGACGACAGCTAGTCTTCAGAAGAGACATTTCTAGCCCACCAGGAGATACCTAAGGCAACCTCCTATCCAAGTCCATACCAGGCAGTGTGGCACCCACTCACTTCAGACTCAAGCAAGAACTCCAGAAACCCAAATCTCCACACTCTATCACAAAAAGTGATAGCGTTTCTATCGATCTTTACACAATGAAAGAACTTTGCAGTCAGCAACTAATATAACTATGTCACTTATTAATTTATTCTTTTCCATTTTTCAGGGAGTGGCTGTTTTTAAAGCATTAATTTTCTTAAAAAAAAGAGATACGGAGGTGAAGAAGAGTTAGAGATTCTTTATTGATGGAGGTTTTGTGGGTCTGTACAGAGCTCCTGAAATCCTCCCATCGCATGCTACTCTGCTTGGAAAGCTGATTTCATCACTGTATGGATGGCCAGGACTTAAAGAAAAACAGAAATGAGATGCTTTTCACTTTCTTGTTGAATTCTTCCTTATTAAATCATCTTATGTGTTGAAGGGCAAAACATTCAGTAGCTGAATGCTTAGAGACTGGTTAAAACTCTCCATGGTCTTGACTTCTATGCTTTCTTAAAAAGTCCATGCAGCAACAAGATCAGACATTTGGAATCTCTCCCTCAGTTTGTATCACTGAACAGTGAAGTCCACAAGTCTGACAGCTGAGGAATGGAAGTGATTTGCTAAAGGGCAAGAAGAAAAAAGAAGTATGTTACATCTGTTCCTTCCTCCTTTCCTTCTTCCCTTCCTTCCTTCCTCTTACTCTTTGTTATGCAAGGCAAAAAAGATCTCTCTTCAGGTTTCTTCTCCCCAGCAGCATTGTCATGTTTTGCCCTCAGGGGATTTGCACAGGGACAATCTGATGAAGAAACCAGTGCTTTGACTCCACATCATCTGAATTTACTTTCCTGGGGTGATCTAGAGCCCAGTCACCAGGTCCAGGCTTGCCACTGAAAGCCCATGGCTACCAGAAAGACCAGAGGTCCCCTCATGAAGAATAACAAAAACTAGGTTCAATCCTAAGGTTCAAACCAGAATGACAAGTCCCTGGAAGGCAGTATGGTCCATATGGGTTCAAATATCAGCCTGGGCAGTTTCTGCTGCCCTTCCTCCGCAGGCCACCAGCATGGAGGTCTGCATGGCTGTTGCTCCTTAGTGTGGGCCTCAGAGGGACTGCAGACGGGATTTCTGCCCTTGCCCCAAGTGGGAACAGCTCTGAGGCTCCATGGGAAGAGGTGCAGGGCTGCAGGGGCATGAAGCAGCCAGGGTTAAGCAGCCTTAAGTAGTCTGACAGCAGATCTTGGAAACTCATTGGCATGTCACCTCCACCCAGCTGGGGCTGCCTACCCTTGGCTCTGTCACCCCTTGGTGCTGTAGCTATGACTGTCATGTAGAAAAGGGGATGAAGTTTGCTATAAAGAAAAGAGCATGGAAGCAAAAGAGCAAGTACCTTCCTTTAAATGTCTCACTGCTGCTGAGGCTGGTGAAGATCAAACAGGGCAAAATGCCTGCTGCCTTGTTCCACCCTCAGTGGGGGAGAGGGCGGTGGGCGTCATGCTAACACATCCCAAGCCCTTCATATTTTCCAGAAGAACACTGAAGGTGGTGGTACTGCTGCTCTCAATGGCTCTCAGGAGGCGGGAATGAGATTATACATGACTCTCCCCTCCCTCACTCTTCTGCTAAAGGCTTTGATTGATTTCCTGTAGGTGTTGGTGAAAACCTTGGCACCATAAAGCATCTAAGGCACTTGATTAGATACACAGCTGAGCTTAAAACATATTTTCATTTTTTAAATCGGTGGAGTCATGCTATTACAGCAGATCTGTCTCCTTGAGGAAGAATAAGGCCTCAGGTATTGCTTTATTTAAGTAGAAAACGTGCCCTAATGGGATTTGCAGATGACCTCAGAACAGCAGCCAGCGCAGCAGGTTATTTCTCCCCCTTACTTGGCTCTGAGTCAGGGGTTGCATTTCTTCTGTTTCTCCAAATACAGCCTCAGGTAGCTGTTTCCACACACTGCTAAAATAGAGGGACGCTTCTCTGAAGCCATAATTTTGTCTCCTGCCTCACCTGAGCCTGAACAGTTTTAGTAGCTTTGGAGCAGAAATAAAGGTGCAAAAACTCTGCAGGTTCTAAGATCAGAAACTTATCTTCTAAGCACAAGAATACACAGGTACTTACACTTTCACTTTGTGTAAGTGAAGCTTCTGCTGTGTCTTCAAGTGAATGCAAAGCCCTTTGCATTAAAATCAGGAGGTAAATTATACATCAGCCTAGTTAACAACATATTATTCATTATTCTGCTTTCTACACATAAGAGTTTCGTAACTTTTTGTACTTTGCCCTCACTTCTTACAATGCAGTAAATATTTCCATCTACTTTTACATTTTCTCAGGAGACACGGAGATTGTGGCCAAGTGGGTGAAACTCTGAGTCCTGGAATAGTCTGGGTTGTTGGCATTCAGGAAAAAACTGGTGGGATTTCTTACACTGTGCTGTCATCTGTTGTTGCAAAGAGCATGCCCTGAGCTATACAATGCACTAAGTGTAGCCCCCTCCTGATGAATAGCCACTGGGCTATTAATCCTTCCACTATTTCCCTCTTTTAAACCGAGGTCCTAAGGGCAATGCAAATATCAGGCACTTGAGTGAAAAGTGACCAGAGAGAAACAGTTAATATTGGTATTTACATAGATCAAAACCTGATCAGTCCTTGTAAATTGATGATTCAGGAAGATAATACTGAATTAGGTTCATGTAGAAGGTGACTGTTGCAAACCAGCTGGCTAACACAAACCACTCTGCACAATCTCTAGGCACCCATTTCTTAAAAACTTTCTCCAAATACATGGCATAAGTCCTAGAATTTTTCAGCAGAGGTTCCTGTTTCTGTCACTCAATTTTTCTGTAAAAGTTCACGCCCTCAGAAGCTTGCACTGTTTTCCCCTTTCAGTGAGGTACCAAAGGAAGCAGTAATTGCACCTGGGGCTATGAGTGCACATAACTGCCTGTGCAAGCACAGTACAACACAGGTGATCATAAATATTGTCACCCGTTGCGTTGACACCCTTTCCAAGGGTTGCACGTCTCCTTTGAGGCCCCTTTTGTACTTTGCCAGTGCCTCCTAATGCCACATAGGCTCATCCCATTGCCTTCAGACTCCTCATCCTGATTGCTGGACAGCACTGCCACCCTGACAGCATTCTCTGGTTTTCCACCATCCCCTTTGCTGCTTGATACCTATACAGCTTAGTGATGCACTTTCCTTTGCTGTGTAACTCCTCTCATGCACGCCCACTGCCCTGCTTGCAATTAGCCCTGCATTTGAACAAAATTAACACCCT